TGTTGGCAAGGTTAAATCCTGGTGGCTCAGAGAGAATCCGGCTTCCTAGCTTTTGGTGGCTGCTGGCAATCTGGCATTCCTTGACCTGTGAGAGCCCCCCAGTTTTTGCCTCAGTCTTCAGATGGCCTATTTCTATGTGTTGTCTTCTCCTTTCCTATCTCTTATCAGGACACTGTCACTGGCCTTACGGTGTACTCTAATCCAGGATGACTTCACCTGGAGATTCTTGATTACATCTACAAGGATCCTTATATTCCAAAGTCATAAGCTGAGGTTCTGGGTGGGCATATCTTCTGGGGGAATACCATTCAACCTGCTGTGCTGTTCCATAGATTATTTCAATACAGTAGTCACAGTGACCTTTTAAAAGTTGCCAGATTATGTTATTCCTCTACTTAAAATTCTCTAATGTCATTCACCTCACTCAGAGAAAAACCAAGATCCTTAGACCAGACTAAAAGACTATGTGATCTGGGTTTGCACCTCAGTGTCCTTGTCTCCTTCCATCCAGTCATAGGTCACAGTGGCTCTGACTAGTTGAGGTGGAAGGACTGGAGACATATTTTGAGCTAGCATGAAAAGGGCTTGGCTATTGATGACATCCAGGAGGCAAGAGTGAGAAGAAATGGGTTGGGGGAACTAGAAAAGAATTACATGTTCAGTTTTGCACAGGCTGCATCTGAAACGCACTGGAGTAGGTTTATATATAATTTTAGAAGCTGGGCTAAGAGATCTGGGCTAAGAAGATAAAGGTGGAAGTTGCAGGTATATTAATAATAATCAAAGCCTTAGAAAAGAGGACCTACAATTTGGTCATTAGAGTAGCCAATATTCACAGAAGGTGGTGAGTCTACAAAAGAAAACAAAGACAAAGGTGGGAGCAACATCAGGAAAGTGTAGCACTGGGAAGAAGGGAGGAAAGGCAAGGAGGGAGAAGTGTACCACTGTAGGGAAATTCGAGGAAGTAAAGTGACGCTAAGCCCTGCTGACACTGAGGTCACAGGAGAACTACTTCATTAGAGTAGTGGAGATAAGATTTAAAGATGAAATGGAAAGGAAACTGAAAAGCAGTTGTGGGTTTCTGGCTCCAGGGCATTTCCTTCCTTTCTCTGAAGACAGAAGAAAAAAGGAAAAAAAATCAATAATAAAAAACATTTCTCTGAGGAAATGGGCCAGGTAAAGGATTAGCTCTTTGAAAAGAAGAAGGAGACCTCCCTGTGCAGGAGGAAAGAGATGAGCACAGGGTGGGTAAAGTGAAAGTGATTTAGGGTTTCCATGATGGGTGGCTGAAGCCATCTTCATGGTGGGCCTTTGATACTTACAGGGGACTCCATTTTCTTAATCCATCAAGTGCCAAATTTTTAGTTCTGGGAATATAAAAAAATTATTTCAAAGTTACCATTAGAGGTTTATTTCTTGTTTAATCTGAGTTTTTATAAGTGTTCTACATGTGAGATCATGGGACAAAATGGGTTAAGGAAGTCCAGAACCGCTGAGTTGTGGACATATATTTAAAATAAGCTCAGTCCGCTCTGATGGATGGGTCATGTCCCCTAGTTAGGCTCAGCTGCCAGATGGCAGGTCTAAGAAGCCAAGTGTCCAGGCTCACCCATGCCTGACTTTTTTTTTTTTCAGATAGGAAAGAGATATTTACCCAAGAGTACCTGAAATAAGGCATCAGAAATCTAAGCAGGGTAGGAAGAAAAGCAATACAAGAGAAGGAACCAAATTGGGAAGGAGGCCAAAGAATGCTTACAGTTGATTATTCAGAACTTTGAGCTCACCTATAAGTAGTTGAAACTCAAATATTAAATCCATGAATGCTAAGAGCCTGGTGTATCTCATATGAGAAGTAAGGGGTTTTAGATATGGCTACTCTACTACCAAGTAGAGCTCTACTTCTACCAAAGAGATCAGTGGGCCTTTGATATTGAAAATGTAGGAAAGAGTATTCCAACTGAAGGGATATCATTCCAAATCTAGATACGTCATAACTTAATTATGTCTAAATGATGCCTAAATGATAATAAATGTCTCTAAGAAAAGGTGTTTCACTAATTTTCTTACAGCAAATTTTATATTAGTGTCCTCTATGGGTTTTATCCAAATTCTTTTTTTACCTTAAGTTATATTCCAGCACAATGATTCTCAACCAGAGGTGATTCTGCTCCCCAAAAGTCAACTGCCCAACTCTGGAGATATTTCTGTCACAACTGGAAGAGTATGTGATGGTATACAGTGATGAAAGGCCAGGGATGCTTCACAGTCTCCTATAATATACAGAAAGCCTCACTCCATCCCAACAAGGAATCCAGCCCCAGAGTCAACAGTGCCAAGGCTGAGAACCTGCTCTGGAACAGAAGCACTTGAAAAATAGGCCTTTCATATCAGAGAGAAGAGGGCTCAACTTTGGATCATAGTAAGCAATTATCTTCAAATTTTCAATAGTCTAAATAAAACTATTTTAGGCGTTCAGAGAGGGTATCAAAATAAGTACGCAAAAAGTAAGAGCTTTAGATATGTAAGAGAGCCTATGGTATGTACTCGATTTCTTCCTCTTCTTCTTCCTCCCTTGCCTAGCTTTTCCCATCCTTTTGTTTATTGTCCAGAAAGATGATCATCTCTGATTTTCACCAGTTCCTGCAGACTGGAAAATTAAACTCCAACTGCAAATTTAACTTTGATAAAATTTCTTTACCCGAAGTAAATGTGAAAATCTAAAGAATTTAGTAAGATGGGCTTTGCACATATACAGAAATGATCAGAGTATATAGATTAAAGATCAGACTGCAATTAAATTCTGAGCAGAGTAATGTAATTAGCAAATTTATGAATGGGTCTTCTTTTCACAGTTCTTCTGTCAGGGCTAATTACTTGTATTAATTAGAACTGTCAACACATGAATATGCTTGTTGAAACTACTTCCTATGGTAAAATATGAGACTTGTAAATATCAAGACACTTGGAAAAATGCAAAGACTCATTTATTAGCAACTCTAAATGATGTAGAAGCACTGACTGCACAATGAGCTTTGGGAATTGACTGTAAATAGATTCTTAGTTAATGAATTTGCTATTTATTCTCCCTTGCTTAGGCATCAGTTTCAATTTAGTTTTGGAATGAAAATACCCAATACATCCCACATTAGACAGAGTGAAACAAGGATAAGGAAATAATTTTACAAGTTATTGGAAAACTGGAAGACTACAAGTTGAGCAGGAAGGAGTTCCTATCTCTTCTCTGATGAGTCCAAAATAGGCTGAAAAAGAAATTCTAAGAACTGTTGAAGTGATAGTCTTTGAATCAGAGTTTGAATGCCAATTTTAAACTCTATGTGACTTTGGTAAATGGTCAAGTTACTTAACCTCTTCTGAACAATGGAGACAGCAAAAGAACTTGTGAAGTACTGTTGTGAAACTTACATGAGTTAATATGTGAAAAGTGCACAGACCAGTGCCCGGCTCAAGATATGTGCAGCTACTACTATTTTCATAATCATCATCATTGGAGATGAAGGTGGAAACATGGAGAACTGAACACTCCCAGAACTAGCTCACAGAAGCAATACACAGAGTGATAAAGAGCACTGGAATCAGACCTGCAATCACACCCCAGCTCCATCACTCATTTGGTTTCTTCTGAGCCTCAACTGTACCCTATTCCCTGTATGAGTTCTTGTGATAAGTAAATGAAAAAAAAAAAAAAAAGCTATGCCTGGTACTAACAGAAGCTTTCTAAATGTCAGTGCTTAAGTTCATTACCATTATTATCTCCCCAAATGATTAAAACAGAAGCAAAAATAAAATTTTCAATTAATGACCAAAGTAAGTAGGGAGAGAAAACAGATGGAAGAAGAGAAAGATAAAGGAAGAGACAAGAAGAGGGCATATACCAAGGGCCTCCTTGTGCCAGCTGCCCTTTGTCTCCCATCTCAGGTGGACATCTGGGCTACCCCAAGAGGAGGGTGTAACTCCCCACCCACAACAACCTTTTAAACCTGAGCTGAGATTCCACCTGAGGCCTGATGGGATGCAAAGCCTGTACCATGCTGAACTTGTGAAAGCTGTATGCAAAAGGCTTCATCACAGATTGAAGGGACACAGGTTACAAACCCTTCTGCCTACATTTTCCCCTCTCTATATATTTAAAACTATAGTAACCAAATCCATAATAGGCAGAGCTTATTCTGGCTAGCTAAAATGTATCTGATGACTCTCATAACATACCTAGCATAAAACAGTTTTAAATTAAGGCCAGTTCAGTAAGTCATTTCAATTTTAATCCCTTTCAGTAACAATAATTATTTTTGTTTTATTTTACTCGTCCTTTCAGAGACTCACATGCCTGACAGCAAGAGAAGGCTCTCATAGAGGCTGCAGGTAACACAGAATGACCACGATACCTTCAAAGTATCCTCCAATTCAGATCTTATATTTCTGGACATAGCAAGATGTCAATATTAGAGCTGACTTCAACTAAAAATCCACTTTTATATAATTAACTTATAGAATTAGATAATTAATAAAATATAAGTTGATGATCCCTAATTCTGCCTTGAAAATCAAGAAATATTTTAAAATTCTGGCCAAAAATTTATAGAATCAAAATAATCCAACATATAAAAAAATTTGAGCCAGGCACAGGAGAGCAAGCCTGTAATCCTAGCTACTCTGGAGGCTAAGGCAGGAAGATTACAAGACCAGCTTTGGGGAAATTTAGTAAGATCCCATCTCAAAATAAAAAATTAATGGGGGATGTAGTTCAGTGGTCAAATGACCCTGGGTTCAATCCTAGTACAGAGGGAGCAGAGGAAAATCGAGTAGGAAGATGTTCTGGATCCTTTCACAAGAATGCCTGTTAACTACTAGGATACTATATAACAGAAAGTCCACAGCATTCCTATATTGATAGGAGAAAGCATTCCAATTAGGTTATGCAATCACTTAAAGAAATTCCTTTATATAGACAGTAGGTTAGAAATAATGCCAAAGGGACAGACTTATAAACACAAGAAAAGGTAGTTAATGCCTTTATTCATTAATGAAATTAAAATGAAAATCACACACAATGTAAAATGTTACAACTACTTTGAGTACGGTTTGACAATTCATTAAAAAGTAAACATGCACTTTTCACATGACCCAGCCATTCCACTCCTAGGGATTTACTCAGCAGAAATAAAAGTATATATTTATGCAAATATTTGTGGATGAATGTTTGTAGCTGCTTTCTTGTAAAAGCCAAATCACTGCTAACAATTCAAAAATTCAATGACAGATGAACAGATAAATAAATTGTAGAATATCCATACAAGGACATACTATTTCCAATAAAAGGGAATTAACTATTAATATACACAGTGAAATGGAAAAAGCCCAACTATTTTATGCTTGGTGAAATAAATCAGATGATCAAAGTATAGTTGTCCCTCAGTATCCAGAGGGACTGTTTCTGGGATGCCCTAGAGACACCAAACTTTGAGATGCTCAAGACACTTAAATTAAATGGTGTATTTGTATATAATCTATGCATACACTCCCCCATATTTTAAACCATTTCTAGATTACTTACAATACCTAATACAATGTTAAATGTCATGCAAAGAGTTGTTACATTCTATTGTTTAGGGAATAATTACAAGTCTGTAAAAGTACAGTACAATTTTTGTTTCAAGTATTTTTAATTTTTGGTTGAATCCACAGATGCAAAACCAATGGATATGGATGGCTGACTATATACAGTATGTTTTCGTTTATAAAAAGAAACTTACAAAATTCTAATTAAATCACAGTGACAGAATATCAGTGGTTGGCTGAAGAATAAGTATGAGTGAGGGAGAGTCTAGATGAATGACCATGGGACAGAAACAGGGGTGATGGGTTCTTTAATTGTCTCCATGGTGGTGAGGTGTACACATATATCAATGCTGAACAAATTGCACATTTAAAATATATGTAGTTTATCATATGACATTTATGTCTCAATGAAACTATAAAAACTAATACTTTCAAATTCCTAAAGAACAGATTCATTTAACATCAAAATTAGCATCTATACAGCTCTCTTCACTTTCTTTTCATGATATTCTCTTTTTGTCTGTACTGAGGATGTAACCCAGGGCCTCATGTATGCTAGGCAAGTGCTCTATCACTGACCTATATTCCCAGCCATTTTTCCATTTTGTTTTAAAATTAAGTTGCTCAGGCTGGTCTCAAACTTGAGATTCTCCCGCATCAGCCTTCTGAATATCTTTGATTATAGGTATGTGCCACCATGCCTGGTTACATGGTACATCATGTCATTTGATCTTCATAAAATTAAAGTCTTATTATTCTGAGAATAAGTTTGTGCCACCATCCAGATTTCACAGTTGAGAAAATGAAGCCCAATAGGCTCCACAATTTCCCATTGTGTACACAGGATTTATTGGGGAAGTGTTTGGCTCCCAAAGATTTACTGAGCCTGCCCTATGCTAAGGACATCTGTTACCAATAGGACAATAAGTCTTCTGGCATATACCCTAAGTTCTTTCAGATCTATTATCTTAACCCAAAATATGATTTTATAAAACCTTGACTTGCTTAAGAGATCTCAAAAGAGAGCAGAAGGCAGGAAGAAAATAAGCCACATATTATGTCTAGCTCTTGCTGAATTAGGAGAAAAAGAACTCAGAAAAAAGAGAGAGTATGGTAGAAGACCAGGGAACTGGGTACCACTTCTGGAGTCTGTGGGAAAGGAGACATGGCCCTTTCCAAGGAGTCTGGCATCTAGAATACCAAAGTCTCGGCTTTAAACACACACATAGACAGTCAACAGAAAAATCCATCCTAAACTTTAAGCTGTTAAATTTGGGATACAACACATTTTTTTAATCTTTGGTTTTTCTCCTCCATTCTATTAGGATAATGATATACTTACTTTTAAAAAAATAATAGCTTGGGCTAGGGTTGTGGCTCAGAGGTAGAGCGCTTGTCTACCATACGTGAGGCATTGGGTTTGATCCTCAGCACCACATAAAAATAAAATGAAGATATAAATAATAATAATAATAATAATAATAATAATAATAATAACTTCATTGAAATTAAATTCCTAAACACACAACTTGCCAATTGAGAGTGCACAACTTAATATTTTTTAGTATTTTCCTGGAATTGCATAATTGTTATGGTTTTGAAAGGAGGTGTCTCCCAAAAGTTCCTATTAACATAGGAATGTTAAAGTATGAGATGATTAGATTCCAAGAGCTGTAGCCTAATCAGAGGATCAATCCATTTGATGGACTAATAAGTTAGAGGGATTAACTGGATGGTAACTGAAAGCAAGTAGGGAGGCTAGAGGAGGTAGGACTTCCTTCATCATTTAATTCTACATTTTATTCATCCATCATCGGATGATAGGCAGTGGGTTTTTTTTAACTTTTTCTTTGGCTACTATAAATAAGGTTACCATGAACTTTCATGTACAAGTTTTTGTGTGGATATACGTTTTCATTTCTCTTAGAAATTACTGGTTTATATATTAAGGTTAAACTCTACATTTGACCTGAGTAACTGCCAGACTATCATCCAAAGCAGCTATACCATTTTGCAATTCCATTAGCGTGAAAAAAGGTTTTAATTTATCCACATCCTTGCTGGTATTTAAGACTGCCTTTGGGGGAAAAAAGATTATTGTAGTCTTGTATTGGGATTTATATATAAAGTGTTCTCCCTTAAATTTATGTACTGGAAACATGATATTCAATGCAGCAATATTCAGGGGCAAAATGATTAGGTTAGGAGAGCTGTAGCCTGATCAGTGGATTATTCCATTTGATGGATTAATATTTTGAATGGATCACTGGGTGGTAACTGGGGCAGGTGGGGTATGGCTGGAGGAGGTAGGTACTGATAGTGTGTCCCTGGTGACTGTATTTGGTCCCTGGTCCTCTCTGTTTCCCGGCCGCTAAGAGCTGAGCAGCTTTCCTCTGTCATGCCCCTCTGCCATGATGTTCTGACTCACCTCAAGCCCAGAGCAGTGGAGTTAAGATTACCATGGACCGAATCTCTGAAATCACAAGCCAAAATAAAGGTGTTCTCATTAGATATTTTGGTCACAGCAACAAAAATCTTATAAACACACCATCCTAGTGGATGTGAAGAGGTATCTCGTTGTGTTTTTTAATTGCATTTCCTCAAAAATAATGATACAGCAATTTCTTATGTGCTTATGGGCCATATGTATGTCATTTTGGAGAAATGTCTATTTAGATCATCTGCCCAGTTTTTAAGTGGGCTGTCTTATTACTGAATTATAAAAGTTCTTTACATTTTCCATATAAAAGTTCTTTATCAAATATATTGTTTGAAAATATTTTCCCTATTTTGTGATTGTCTGTTCAATTTTTTATGGTGTTCCCTGCAGCAGAAAAGTTTTACATTTTGATAAAGTCTAATTTATATGTTATTCATTTGATGCTTTGTTTTGGTATCTAATCCAGTCCATGAAGATTTACATGTATACTGTCTTCTAGGAGTTTGGCAATGTTAGTTCCCACGTTTAGGTTAGTGAGCTGGTTCTATACCTGACCCTGAGCATTACTGAGTACTAATGGTGCTAAACCATGCGCACTGCTTGCTATGCCTTAAGATCCAGTCCCTTGATATTTGTGCTTTAAACAGGACCAGAAATTGGTGTGAATTTCATTCTGTAGGCAGCATGAATACAATGAGCACAGAATAGACTTCCGCTGAACTCTTACAGATGGAAATTCCACAGTCTCAAGATACCTCACTGAGATCATCAATCAAGAGATATTCATCTTTCTTGACAATGACATAGGAAGTAAATAAAAGCGCAGCACTAGATGTGGGGAACACTCATAAACAAAGAGGGAAGAAGAACACACTCTGGGTTGGTTTGGCTTTGGAATACCACATTGTTGAAGAGTGGGTCTAACTGCCAGAGGCCAAGCAGCAAGGGGACACCTCTGTCTCTGCATCATGCTTAGTACTCCTGCAAGTCACTGCCTTAGTGTTAGGTCTCTTCCCTCATCTCCTGTTGCAGCTTCTGTCGTTTGTCTGCCTAAATTTCTGAGCATGGAGGAGTCAGATCTCCCTGCCTACTGTTTTGTGGAAAAGGAAAACTAATAATTAGAATCATTTCTCTACTCTAAACCCTAAAAGAAAGAGAAGGTTATAGAAGATGTAGCCCAAACTTAGACTAACACTGAAAACTGAAACAAACACACACACACACACACACACACACACACACACACACACACCAAAAAAGCTGTTTAAGAAATTTGTGATCTATACCCTGAAATCATCAGCCAGATTCTTTGGGAACTTGTGCTGGTATGCAATTGAACAACAGCAGAGGAGGCAGAGAGGGAAGATGGGAGGGGAGGGGAGGGGGGATAGTAGGGGATAGGAAAGGTAGCAGAATACAACAGTCACTAATATGCCATTATGTAAAAATGTGAGTATGTAACAGATGTGATTCTGCAATCTGTATTTGGGGTAGAAATGGGAGTTCAAAACCCAACTGAGTCAAATGTATGAAAGATGATTTATCAAGAGCTCTCTAATGTTTTGAACAATCAAAAAAAAAAAAAAAAAGACCAGGCAAAAAACCTGGTTGGCTACATTTTGTCTAGGCTAAAGCTCAGAGTTTCTGTAAGGCTACATTTAAAGATGATGGAATAATTAGCCTGATGGAGGATATTTCAAGATAGCACAGCATTCAGTTAGTGGCACTGATATTGCTGGCACTTTTTCTGGCCACAATAGGAACAGAACACAGAACTAAAAAACTTTTTTAAAAAAGTGCACATAAAGCTGGGATTAAGAAAAAGTGTGCTTGCACATATAGAGCACTATTTTTAATATCTCTGTTCACGCCAGCTTATGCCATTATACATGTACTCTTTTTTTTGCATTACAATTCTTAATACACATGTATACCACAAATAAGGATTGTAATGAAAAAAAATAAATTTTAAAAAAAGAAAGAAAGGTGTGCTTGCTGAAGAGATTACAGCCCCTAAGGCAATGCTAAGAACTTTGCAATGAGACAATAGGAAAGATGGCTCTGGGCAACTCAGGAATTTGCAAGACCATACTCATGTCAGGCTTATGGATAGAAAAAGGAAAATTCCTTTGAGAAGAGATCATGGGAGCATCCTACTCACACAAGTGGTCCTAAAAAGTTATTTCACTATCCTGAGCCACAGAGCACTCAAAGGTCCCTACAGCTGTGTTCCAGGGGGCCAGGTATTATGTGAGCTGTAAGCAGGCCCTTGGCATCACCCACATGGTGCTGGTTCTGCAGAAATATGGGATGCTTAAGTTAAGGGGTCATGAAGCCTTTCACTGAGATTGCTCAGGAAAGCCTGGGAGGCCAGGCAAATGCAGCAGAGTTGGAGTCCATGGAGTGTCCTTGAGAGGGTAATGCTTGAAGCTGTAAAGGTAAAGTTAAAGCAGGAATGAGTACCCCAGGAATTAAGAGATGTCAGTGATATGGAATGTCTGCCGAGAAAAGATGCTAGCTGTGGAGACAGCCAGGCTATAAGAAAGCCCATGTGCACTGCAACTGCCATGGGCAAAGGTGCAGGGCTGCCCAAATCCTTTATACAGAACATCTTGCCACTGAGTCCTAGATGCTATCCACAGAGTTAGGAGCCCCATTTGTTCAGCTGGGTTTTGGTCTTGCTTTGGCCCCATCTCTTTCATTCATTGCCCTTATTCCTCTCTTTTGGAATGAAACTTTATTCTGTGCCACTGTATATTAGATATATGCAACTTGTTTTTAATTTTTTACAGGGATTCCCAGCCAAAAGTTTGCTTGAATCTCGGGAGACTTTTATGTGGACTGGACTTTTCAGCAATACTAAAACTGTTAAGACTATAGGACTCCTGGAGATGGACTGTGTGTGTGTGTGTGTGTGTGTGTGTGTGTGTGTGTATGTATGCATGTATGTGTGGTGCTGGGGACTGAACCAAGGACCTTGTATTTGCAAGGCAAGAACTCTACCAGCTGATCTATATCCTCAGCCCCAACTTTTTGCATTTTGCAATGAGATGGACATGAGCTTTTAGGGGCAGAATGTTATGGTTTAGATATGAGAGGTGTCTTCCCAGAGCTCTTGGATTAACACAGGAATGTTCATGGGTGAAATGATTGGATTGTAAGGGCTGTAACTATAGTTCATCCTAGTTTTGAATGAACTAGGTGGCTAGAGGAGGTGCTTCACTGGGGAACTGCCCTGGAAGGATGGTTCTTGTGCAGCCCATTCCTCTCTCTCTCTCTCTGCTTCCTAATGGTGCCACAAACTAAGCAGCCTTCCTCCACTAGGCCTTACCCACCTCATTCTGAGGCCAGAGCATGGAACTGGCTATCTATGGACTGAGACTCCTGAAACCATGAACCCAAATAAATTTTCCTCTGCTATGTTTTTGTTGTTCAGTAAATTGGTCACTGTGATGCAAAATCTGACTAAAACAACCAGGCATGTATACAAGAAGAGGAAAAACCACATGTGGACACAGAAAAAGGTAGCAGCTATCTGCAACCTAAGGAAAGCAACCTTGGGAGAAATCAAACCCGTTGGCACCCTGACCTTGGACTTCTAGCCTCTGGAGAAGTAAGAAAATAAATTTCTATTGTTTAATTAACACAGTCTGTAATGTTTGCATGGCAGCCCTAGGAAACTAGTATAAAGTTTTTCATGTTAATTTAAAATAGCAAACTAATAATTATTTATATTAATTATAAATTATTGAAAATGACACCATTATCATGCTCTACAATACATGAATGGCAAAATGTATGATTAAAATGTAACAATTAAATATTCAGACTCTGAGACTAGACTGCCCGGGTTCCAATCTCAGTTCTACTCCATATCAAATATGAGTCATCAGAACTCTGAGTATCTGCACACACAGGTACACATATAGACACAGGCCACTTACAATGGCACCTACTATGCTATGGCTCAGTACATTCCCTCTACCTTTCCCCCCACCAAGTAAAGTGATTTTAAAACCCAGATTTGATATTGTTGCTTTCCTACTTAAAACTCTCAATGGTTTAGACTATTCTCAGGATTAAGAGCAAAAACCTTAAACTCAGAAACTGGGCCCTTTATAACCTGCACACCACCTCTCTCTCTCTCCATCCTGATAACCTGCCATCTTGGTCCCCACACTGCAAAATACACTGTAGTCACAATCTACTTCATTCCACCAACAGATCATCTTCCTATGTCTGAACTTTTATTTATTTTCTCTGCTTTACTCACTGCTCTATTCAAATCCTTCACTAACTTCTCATTATATTCAGGGTAAAAACCAAACCCATAGATGGGCCATGGTTTGGAATATATTTATTCAAAATTAGGATCAATACCTAGATTACTCCAACCTTACACTTCATACATTTATTCACACACAATAAAAGCATGTTAACTCTATATATTTTGTCTGTTGACCTTTGAGACAAATAAGGTGATAGACGTTGAAATGTCACTATGACTCAGTAAAAAAAAATCCATGTTTTGGGCGGGGTAGAGGAGTAGAACCCGGGATTGAACCCAGGAGCACTTTTAACAACCAAGCAACACCCTCAGCTCTTTATTTTTATTATTTATTTTGAGACAGAGTCTTGCTAAGTTGCTCAGGGCATCACTAAATTGCCAAGGCTAGCTTTGAACTTGCGATCCTCCTGCCTCAGCCTCCTGAGCCAGTGGGATTATAAGCGTGCGCCAACACACCCAGCCAAAATTCAGAATTCTGAGTTTAGAATAAATGATATCCCATCGTACACCTCTCTTCTGTTTACTATAGGTGCAATTTCTATTTTATTTTTCTAAAGTTAAGTAGTTGTCTATTCATATAACCACAAAAGAGCAGGAGAAAGATTTTTTTAAAAAATATGTACAAGTCTTGACAGTTTTAAGGACAGTGCTTATTTGGTCTCATTATTTTGCCAGTTAATTGACAGGGGAAAATGTCCTAATTGCTCATTAACTCTGATGATGTTCCCCTTGTCTGGTGTCAAGG